CCATTAACATTTTCTATCTAGTTTGAGTTCAGTGCTCTCAACCCCAGCACAAAAGTTTCCCCGTCTCCCCTTTGTGGCCTTTCATGTATTGCAGAGAGAAACCATGCTGCACTTTCTCCCAAGCCTCTCTGGGTTCTCTTGCTGCCCCTGGTGTGGGCTCAGGTCCTTTGAGGCAGCAGTGAAGTGGTATGAGCCAAGTGGAGGACATCACACTGACACTCATTCAGTGAGGAGAGACTAAAGAGCAATCTCAGTATTTTCAGCAATTACGTCATGCCATGACTCACACTCAGCTCATGGTCAATGAACAGCCTTTGACCTGCTCAGGTCAAGTTTACCTAACATGATTTTCTGCAACGATCATTAAATCAACTATACCAAAACCACTTAGTCCATTGAGATTTGTGTTTCTTTCTTGTTAAATTTCATCTTACTGCCTTTAAGCCTTTTTAGAGCCAAAGATATTTTTGGATTTCAATTCCATCACTTGACAGAATTCATTTTCAATTCAAGTAGCACTGGTATCACTGATTAGAGCAAGGCCATGCAGAAGCCTGTGTGAGTCCTGACTACCTTCCTTCGGTTCATCCCTGAGTATAAACCAACACTCTGGAGGCTCAAGTTTATAGAACAGTGGATTGACTACAAATCGACACCACTGTGTTTCTTCCTATGACTGCTAGACATAATCTATTTGCAACATATGCCTTGTCTACCAACTTAGTCAGCTGTTCTATCACAAAATGGATTTATCTGGGGATTAAGAATCATGGGATTAGGGCAGAAGGAAATCTGTTGTTTTGTGAGCTTGGTGTCGGGGTGAGCTGGTGATTAGAAGATCTAGAGCACAACCTATATTCCTCACTTGAGAACTGGGAAGTTCACTGATCGATATAACCCATTTAGTGAAAGTCAGTCTTCAGCTGCTTGTGTGATTCTGGTAGTGACTAAGGCCAAGCATGAATATCTAGAGGTAGAATTTATAAAGGAAATTTTTGACCAAGAAAGACAGTTTCTCTGAGATATTGTTTTGTCCCAGAGAGTACAGGGAAGTTTGGAAGGAAAAAGTTATTTTTCTTGTGTATTTCAAGCAAATCGTTGTTTATTTCTGGGGGCTAGTAAACACTAGTGATGTAAGTTACATCTCTGCCAGTAAAAACTTTAACTTGCCTAAGGAGATGGCATCTGCTTATATATATTTTTTAAATAACCCTCCCAACTCCCTGAAAGAAATAGACAGCTATGCATGATTTTTGCTGCCAAGAATGCAAGCTTGCCATCTAGTGGCAAATCATATAAACTGAAGGTAGATGATCTTAAGGCAAAATTCTTTTCATTTCTTTTTATTTTTTTAAGAAAAGTATTTTCAATAAACAGTGCTGGGAAAATGGACTGTCACATGCCAAAGAATGAAATTAGAGTACTCTCTCACACCATCCACAATACTCAAACTGAATAAAAGATTTGGATGTAAGAATTTAAGCCATAAAATATATAGAAGAAAACATGGGCAAAGAAATGCAACATACATATGAAAAAATGTTTAACATCAATTATTATCAGGGAAATACAAATCAAAACCACAATGAGATTATCACCTCACACCTGTGACAATGGCCCCTATTAAAAGAAAACAGAAACAGTAAGTGCTGGCAAGAATGTGGTAAAAAAAAATCCTCTTACACTGCTGGTGGGTATGTAAACTGGTCCAACCACTTTGGAAGTTTGTGTGGAGTTCCTCAAATTACTAAAAAATGGATCTACCATATGACCCAGCAATTTCACTCCTAGGAATGAACCCAAAGAACACAAAAACTAATTTGAAAGGAACTGGCACTCCTATGTTTATTGTGGATCTATATATAATAGCCAAGACATGAAAACAATCTAAATGCCCTAAAACAGATCATTAGGCATCAGGCAAAAAGAACCAGGTAGAGTCACTGTGATGATTAATTTGTGAAAAAAAGAGAGCAAGAGAGAGAGAGACAAAGGAAACATAAGAAATGATCAGTTTCATTTTTCAATCTAGAATGTGACAGAAATAGCACCATAACAAACTTTTTCAAAAAAATTCTCTGAACTAATCAAAGACTTGAATAAACATTCACTTGATAAATACAGCATTTTAGTGCCAAACTATAGCATTTTTATAGTTCCTACAAGAACAAAAATTTAAAAAGAAATGATAAAATTTCTTTGTATATAATGATACTCTATGAAATGAAATCTAGAACTGAATTAAGAGGCTTCATAGCTGAAATAAGGATTGCATAAATAAGTACACAAATTTTGTTATTAGTTTAACAAATACTTTTTTTTTTTAGAGATCTCCTCTAATGAAAACAGTAATGAAAGTGTTCAGGAGCTCTTTTTATTTATTCCATAGTTTTTCTTGTAAAAAGAAAATGGATTAAAAAACTTTACTTTGTTACATTTTGCCATTGGGTGGCAAATTCATTCATGAATGAATAGTAAAAATTTAAAATCAATGTCAAATGAAAATGAAAGGTAATCAGTCAGTAAACATTTATTTTTAGGGGATAATTTAATTTTTAATACAAATACAAAGGGAATATAAAGGAAGTGTATTAATAGTTACATATTATCTCTTTTTCTTCTTAAATCCTCTTAAAGGAGTCAAAGGAGTTAAAGTCACCTGCTGAAGATCATAAAATTAGCCAGTAGAGGAGTGAGACACTTGACTTTGAACTTCTGTTTATAGTACTATTAATCCTGCGGATGTGAAAGTGTGTCTCCCATGATGGTTCTATAATTTCCACACAAATTCCACAGAATGTGAAATTAACAGAAGTCTCAAGTGCAATTAGTGATGGCACACTAATTTTGTTAAACATATTCTACTCCTTTTTATAAAAAATATTTTACTATGGCACTTATTTGATTCTACCTATTTTATACTATAACAGATTTAATCATACAAAACCCAACAACCTCCCGCTATAGTAAGAAGTTAGTACTGAAGAAGTAAATACACTTTAGTTTTTCATTTATATATATTTTCAAAACATGTTGTGAATGACTGAAATGGTTTGTGTGTGTGTGTGTGTGTGTGTACACACATATATATTCTTAAATAAGAAAAGAAAGGGAAAAAGAAGAAGGAACTTCTTTCGGGGGTAATTTATATACATCTGAATGAGCATAATACTTAAAAAATATCCTGCAAATTGTAATTTTAGTAAAAGTACACTGCTATATAATCATGTATGGCATTTACAAAAATAGATAATCCTCTGGTGAGAACCAAGGGAACAATGAGTACATAAACTGAACTGTGAAAGGGGAAGGAAATAAAACTAAAATTTCAATCTCTGAATTTTCAAGCATAGAAAGAGAAAATCTTTAAACAAAGGCTCAGTTGTAGGCCTGTTTCCCTTGAGAGAATTCTACATAATTTAGGACACAGGAGTAATGAATGCAGACGAGAGAAAATTGCTGCAGTTTATGGAGGTAACTACGCAGGAGAAAATGTTTAGGCTACTACGGATGGTGGAATTTGAGAACCAATTAAGTCAGAATAGGTCATCTGACCTCAGCTGCCTTCATTAAATAGTAACTAGAGGATGGCTAACATAATTGCAATTAATTGCTCATGTATTTATTGCTTGACTGCCATTTCCCCGTTTGAATGTCAATGCTATGAAGGCTTATGTCTTTTTTGTTCCCTGGCATACAGCAATCATGAAATAAACTTCTCTTCCTAATTCATCCCTTTATGGAGTCCAGTGATTAAAATCTTGAGTTTTGGAGTAGATGAGGACCTAGTCCAGATCTTGGTTCTCTCACTTATGAGCTTCTAATGACCTTGGGCAAGTCTTTTAACTTTGAAGCACCCGCTTTCCTTTCCTGTGAGACAGGACAGTGATAGAATTTACCTTGTGTGGCTGTAGTAAGGATTAAATGACAGGAGTGTAAAGCCCTTTGCTCAAGGCAGGTGGTTCCAGTCTGTGTTCACAGACTGTGTTCAGTCTGTGGGGGTCAGGCTGCTCTCCTGCCTTTAAATATGAGCGTCCATGTAGGTTGTGTGGGGGAGCTGCACCCAGATTCTAATTTGATAGGGCTGTAGGGAGACTTGGATAATTACAACCGGGAATTACTCTGGTCAGGGAATTTTGGACTATTCTTGAAGAAATACTGCTTTGAAAAGATAATCTTCAATTTCCAGATTTCTGAAGAGATGAATAAACTGATACAACACATGACTCTCAGGATTGGGTGATGAAAGCAAAAGAACTATTTTTTTTAGGTTGAGAAACTGAAGATATATGTCATTAAAATTCCAACCTGAATAGCCAGCAAATTTATGTTATTCCTATATTCACCAGTGCCAACTCCCTACGTCCAGTCTGTCACATTAATTCTTTTCAATACTGTCCCCTTAACAACTGAACCACGAAAGGATCACAAACATAGAGTTCAAAGCAAACCAAAGTCATAAAGGGAATAAGACGGTCTTTGATTTTTAAACAATCTTCATCAATGTTATTTTTATGTAGAGGGGCTGGTGTCTTTAAAATTAACTAGGGTTTTCTCTTAGGTTTTAGATATTATTGGGATGTAAATTTAGAACACCAAGAGGGTGTTCTAAAAGGGCATTACTTTTTATTTCCGCAAGTAAAAATTTCCTATCAAATAGGGCCATACGTAATATTGTAAGTGTGAATATATGTGAAATGCCCAGCTCAAAGAGTTAACTAGAGCCACAGATTTGCAGAGCTCTTTCTCCCCCCTGCTGCAGTTTTTTATTTACTAATAAGCCAACAACTCCTAATGAAGCATTAACCCTTCTAGATCAAATGAAAAGGCTAGTCGTTTCCAGCTAATTCACAGGAGGCTGTTGGAAAGTAGCTTTTATGTTGTTTTTTTTCCCCCTTCTTTTTTTAAGGAAAGAAAAATGAAAAAAAAAAAAAAGAATTATTCATATTCACTCATGGGTGTTTAGAATGCAAATTCCCCCAACTTGGCATTTCTCTTACCAGCAGGTTCTCCGGCTTGATGTCACGGTGGACTATGTTCAGACTGTGCAGGTATTTGATGGCACTGGCCAGGTTGTACAGCATCCCGCTGGCGTCTCGCTCAGTGTACTTGTTAGTGGAAGTAATGGCATCAAAGAGGTCTCCTCCCTGAGAGGAAAAGAACAGGCAGAGAAGCACACTAGCAGATGGTTCAATGGGGCCGCCTGGAGAGGCAGCTGACACAGTAGAAAGGAAATAAAGAATGGAGGCCGGCTCCTCATTTCTGAGGGCCTTTCTTGCTACTTCCTGCTAAAAGACCCAGAGACATTATGGTGATTTCTCTTTCCTGTGTTAAAGGCAGGGAAATTTCTTCTATTGTCTCCAAGACAGAGGAGGGCGAGGCTTCCCTGCCATCAGACACAATCATTTCCACAGGCCCCAGCCAGGATGGCAAGGTGGAGCCTGGTGGCAGAGCTGGGTCTCCCTGGGCAGAGGCCTGGTTATCCTGAGGGCACAGGCTAGATGCCTCACATAACTGCCAGCAGAAATTTAAATGCCTAATCTTAAACCTCCCCAATCAGAAACAGGTAATTCTGCAAATGGTGCCTTTACCAAAAAGTTCTGCTGTCTAGTGAATACACACGTACATTCCTTTCATTCTCTATATTTGGCTCTCTTAGGTTGGGCATAGTGTTTTATTTTCCAATGATGTGTTTTCTTTGTAAGGAACAAAGAAAGGGACCAGAAACTGTCATGCCAAAGGTAAGAGAGAAAGGGAAGGTGGAGGGTGGTGAGATAGCAAAATTTTCTAGAGCCATTGTTCATCTGAACTTTTGATTCCCCTGTTCCTTGTTAATTTAATGTTATTTGGCAAAACAGTGATTTCAGGCTCCAATTTTAGTTCCATTTATTTGAAGCCCTTTCAAAGAATTTGGGCCTGATTTACTAACCCAAATTTAGTATTTGCATCATTCTTGCATCAATACAGAACAGCCACTTGTGTTCATGTGTTTCCTAATGTGGCAAGGGACTGAATTTTTATTTTCCAATAGCAAAGGCAAAATATAACCTTTGTATGCTGGCGATTTTCAAACCTCACTATCTGGCCCGGTCCTCTGTCACCCTGTGCAGTTTCCAGCTGGGAGGATTCATCCATTGTCCATTCAAACTCAGCAGTTCTCAAACTAAGCCCTTATTATTTTTGTTATATAATAAATGTTTTTTCTTTCAACTTCCGTTTCTCTGAAAGATTATAATCTGTAAGTTTGGGGGTTGCTTCTGTGCCACTCTGGGGAGGGGAATCATGGCGGGCTACTTGAACATAATAAGACTTGTGGGGCTATGTGTAGTAACCCTGCAAAAACTACTGAGGTCCTAGTATCTGTGTTCCAGGTACCCTGTCATTCATTTCTTTACCCACAACAAAGCAGTCAACATATCCTAGTAGTGCTTCCTTTAAAGCATGTCTCCTCAGCTTCTGGAGTTTCCACTCCACCTTAAGAATATAAGTTCTCCAAGCAGTACCCCTTAAATTGCAGTCATGGGCTCTCCCAGTCTGCATTGTTGCTGAGGGCTCACTACCCACATCATCCTGGGCCCTGACAGCTACCTTCCCATTGGCAAGATGATAGCCTCTCTTGCTTTACCAACCAGTGTCCCTCTTCCCTGGCTGTCCATGTTCTGCCCCAGCTCTCAGTACAAATCGTCCAATATTATTTCCTGCTACTATCAAGTTCTCTTTTGTTCCAGTTAGGATATCCTTCTCTAGTCTTCAAAACTGACTAAAACTACTTGGCATTGCACACCTGCCCTCATTAGAGCGCCCTGCCCAAATGGCCCTTCTATTCCCTTTGTCTTTCTAACTTCTGTTGATCTTTTGGGGTGTGGCCCTGTTGCTGCCTCCTCTGAAACCTGCCTTCCTCTCCAGTCAGTAGCAGCTTGGGCGTGCACTCTTTTGCAGGCACAGTCTGAAATCTGGTTCCTAATATGATGGTATTACACTCATGCTAATTATTTCATTGTTTTCTGGAATACAGACATTGTTTATCCTGTAGAGTTGGTATTATATATGCATATTGTATGTGTGTGTGTGTGTGTAATATGTGTGTATGTATGTACAATATGTAAGTTTATGTATATAATATATACATATCTAACATGTATACACACACATATAGTTCCATAAAAAATGCAATTACCTGTTTCTATTTGGGGAGGTTTCGGATTAGGCACTTAAATTTCTGCTGGCAATTGCACGAGGCATCCAGCCCGTGCCTCCAGGATAACCAAGCCTTTGCCCAGTTATCCTTAGGGTTTAAAAGCAAGGCCCAGTTAAATTTCTCATAGGGAATGTTAGGGTTAGCCTGGGCTGACCTGTACATCTTAGGATGCTCCCCAGACTTGCCCTCACAGTGGCTGGGTCAGACTAATTTAAGGGCCCAATTCAGTGACACAGTTGAGGTGGTCCACGGCTAAAGACATTTGTTGGCCTTGTTAGATAGGGTGTCTGGTCACCCAAAGACAACTGGTAAAGACTGTTAGGTGACAGGAGTACCCTCCAGTTTTAGTCACCACTCTGACTTGGTTACAGTCATCTGACAAAGCATATGGTTCACATTCAGATTAAAATTTCCCACAAAATGTATTCTGAACTCTTGAGGCTTTGCCTTTATTACTCAACTTCAATTTAATTTGGTTTTAGTCTGCAAATAACAGCCAAAAAACAGCACTCACAGGGGCAACAAAAATGGTTTGAAATGGTTGGGGTAAAAATTCAAAGCATGGTAAAAATAACTTTCTTTGACCCCTCAGAAAACATGATTTACAATGTTGGAAATTATTGAAGATTTCTGGTAATAAATGCCAATATGAAAATTTTCTGAATAAATGAAATTGACCTTTGTTATGATGCAGGTTTCCCCTGCTATTTGAAAGTAGAATGTTTCAATTTGGTATGATTTTATGGATTATTTTTTTGGGTCTGGAAATGCTCAAGCATTTTTCCATGTAAATTAATTGTAATAGTGTTTCTAGAGGAAATCATACAATATAGACATGTTCTACTTTTAGATGGAGGGGAAAGCTCCAACCAATTGATATTTTTATCCATCCCTCTCAGCCTCAGGTTTAACATAACCTTATGTTAAAACAAAAATGAGCCTGCACCCCTCTCGGAAATAAATTAATCCTAACTTGGTTTGATCTATAAAAGTGTGTGTGCTTGTATAATATATGTATGTATATGTAATATGTATGCATATGCATATATATATATATATATGATATACACATGTATACACGCATGAATATGGGTCCGAAGCAAATCTGATAATGAATGTTTAAAAGCCTAGGAGTTACATCTTCCTATACAGAATAGAATAATATATTCAATCCTTTCTTTGTCTTAAATCTTTACAAAAGAAAAACCTGTGCTCCAAAATGCTGATTCCTACCATCAGATCTGGGATATGATCCCAAACAGTTCCTAAAGCCCCAGACTCAGGATGATGCACACAATTAATGCAGAGGGCAGTGTTACTAACTTACAACACTTCACAACTAAAGTAGAAATTCAGTACATCTTCAGTGGCATTAACATAGTAGGAAAAGCTTGAGAAAAGTCTAATGTCCCAAAAACAAAATCTTCAATTTAAAAAACGCCTAGTCTACTGAAAGGTTCAAACATGAAGTATAAAGAAGTAGGTCACTGATCACCTAGATTATCAGCATTTACCTCCTTCTATATTCTAAGTTTGAATAGAATGAAAGAAGTAGTTTTATGCCACCACATTAAGATTGTAACATCCCCTGAAAGGTGGTAGGCATTTCTACATCATATTCTAATATTTTCTGTGTTACAGAAACTGGTAGGCACCAACCCTTGTATCCCCACAATAATACCTCTAGGTAAGTAGTATCCTTATTCTCATTTTGCATATTAGAGAACAGAAGCACACAGTTAGGAAGTGATTTCAGTCAATGAGAAGACTTGAATTCTTGAGGCATAATCCTAGTGTTAATACTCGTAACTATTATACTAAATCAGAGCAAGGAGAGACTGAATCTTGATAGAAAGAAATAAAAGATTTCGCTCCACTATATACAAGTAAATGTAGTGCTCTGTAAAGGTTATTTCTTTTCTAGAAAACATACCTTTACTAATTCCATGACAAGATACAATTCAGTTGGCACATCCATCTCTTCAATCAGAAGAACAATATTGGGATGTTTCACTCTTCTTAAAATGGACACTTCATTCTGGATCATGTGTTCCTGTCCAAGAAAACAGTTATCTTAGTATACACTTCAAAATATATGAGGCTGTAGTACAAATGAGTAAAACTATATTATCTGGGGATCGAAGGAGATGTATCTTGGTAAAATATCATGAGTATGTCATTTTGATATTCAAATAGCCTAGAATTTCCAAAAGATGTTGAAGGTCCTGAGATAATGCTAGTAAAATTGAGACTTTGTCAGGAGAACTATAATTTCATACAGAAAGGTGGCATGAAACTTAGTGCATAAAAGGAAAGTGAACAAGCAAACAAAAATAACATACAGAATAACAACCAATCATTCCAACTAATATTATTTCAGGCATATTTATAGCAAAAATTTGTCTATGAATTAGTAGATAACAGTGTCAACCAATATGGTACAATTAGGGTGAACTTCTGTTTATTTGGTAGCTCATTTTTGTGTTCCTCTCTACCCACTAGTGTAGTTTTGTAAAAATAAACTTTATACATACTTTGCCTCGACATTTGCTTTTCTTGATAATTTTCAAAGCATACTCCCTAGCTGTAGACCTGCAAAGAAAAAGGTGATTTTAATAAACATGATTTCAGATTTAATGGATCACTGTTTTAAGGAGTAATTTCTCACCTTATAGATCTTGCATCAAGGTGCAAATATTTTGTAAGTGCTCTCTTTCCCTCTTTTAATAAACAAAATATGTCAACCTAAGGGTCCAAAAACATGCTAACATAGAAATATCTAGAAAAAACTTGAGCTATAATGTTGTCATGTTTGTACTTAAACACTACCACTGCTACTGCCATACATAATTCCCCTTGCTAAGTTGTCCTGCCCATCCACTAAAGTGGAGTAGCCTGGACACACATTTCCAGTCCCTCTTGAGAATCTCTTTCCAGAGTGTGGCTGTAACAGTTTCCTCAATGGTTGTCACAGTCACACTGAAAACATACAAGAAGCAGTTCGTACTCTTTAGCCTTGTGTGGCATGGAAGGCTGAGGTTTACTGTAACTCACTAACGATGTATTTAAGTATATAGAGAAAAAGGGTAAAACCATTATCTGAGTTCTCTTTCACCTACTGAACCTTTGATGGCGTCTCATTTCCCTAAAAACAAAATGAAGGTGATGATTAAAATCACGTCACTGGACCCACTCTGGTGGCACAGTGGGTTAAAGCACAACACTACAAATTCAACAGCAGCTTCAGGAGCACAAGTTCAATCCTAGGCTAGGGAGCTGACCCATATGGCATAGCATCTACCTCTCTTGTCTCCCCCACTGCTCTCCTCAGCAATGTACATCATCAATCTGCCTGTTCTGCTCCCCACTCTATCTCTGGTGAATCCTCTCACTGCCCACGCACCTCTGGCTGTACCCAGTTCTGTATGTATAAATAAATTAAAAAAAAAAAATCGGGCCCTCTCCAGTGAGCTGTGAGTTGGAGCGCAGCACTGCAAAGCTAAGCCAAGCCTTGGCCTCTTTAGTGCAAGTTCCATCCTTGCCCCGGAGGTGATTCACATGGCGAGGCAGACCTCTCTTGTCTCGCCCACTGCTCCCCTCAGCAGTAGACATTGTCGTCTGCCTGTTCTACTCCCCCACTGTTTCTGGTGAATCCTCTCGCCGCCCCTGCACCTCTGGCGTGTACCCCAGTATGCATAAATAAATAAAATCTTAAAAAAAAAATTGAGTCACTTTCCCAACGCCACATGACTGAGTTTAAATCAAGGTTCTGAGTTCCTGAGGTCTCTGCTTCACAGATAGTCTAGGGAACACTGCCCCTTCTTCGTGGTGGATGTGGAAAAGAGGGCTTAGTCATTACCACTACCTTTAAATAACTTCCTAACTTCTGTTAATGTATTTTAAGACTTCACAGAGTTAAACACAATAGGATTATTTAAGGACACAATGAATACTTAATAATCATAATAACCCCTATTTACCAGCATTGCCATATCATTTATGGTGGGAAATCAAAAGAGCCTAACTTTTTACCTATGGGTAGAAAACAATTTTATGGATCCAAATGAGTACGAGAGCAGCAACAAAATTTTCAAACAGCACTTTTAAAATCTACAGAATAGAGAGTCAAAGAGGGATTTCCACATTCTATGATTAGCTCAACTGAATGACTTCTGTAGGCAAATAAAGACACCAGATATTAACAATATTTCTCAAGGGTGTTTTAATCATTTAGCATTCAGGTCATTTGCTTCTGAAAAAAAATGCTGCTCTACTAAACTTCCGCACCCTGCACTGTGCTAGCTTGCAAAAACAACAACAACAACAACAAAAAACCCCAAAAAGCAAAGTGTTATGCCTCTATCTGGTGAACAAACCTGGATGAATGGATCACTTTGAAACCCTATCTCCTCCACAAGAGGGCTTTGTGGTTCATAGGGGAGCAGGTAAAGCCCTCTCTCCACCTCCGGGTGACTCTCCTGTAGAATGTGGTACATTCAGAAGAGCCCAAGTGACTTCAACATTGTGACACAATGGAGCAAAGGGCTGGAGGGTGTCCCTGCCACTTGGCCTTTGTTGATTCTTCTGGCGCGTGGCCCGGCAGTGAGGCCAGGATGGAGCAGAGTGTGACTTGGCTTTGGGCTAAATGCAAGACATGGATAACTCAATGTCCTCACACAACCACCAGAGAGTCAGCAAGGCTCTGGGATCAGGGTGGAGAAAGAGGGAAAGTGAGTAAGAGGGAAACTCAAATATTAAACATTTATAACTATAAATGTGCAAGCAAATAGAAAAGTGAGAAAGTGAAATAAGACACAAGATGGGTTTCCTCACATCACAAAGGGCTCCAGGGTTCCTTTATGTAGCCTCTTCTTAAGAGGCTTCTACAGACTGCAAATTTGAAGATTTTAAGCACGAGAAAAACTAAAAGCTAAAAGTGTTTTGGGATTCTGTTTTCATTACAAAATTATGATAAAGCAAATGAGATTAAAATACACAGATGTGTTCCTATCTGGTTTGAAAGTTTTGTTCAATAGCAGCAAGGGGCAGAAGACTATTGCCCTGGCTACTTTAGAGAAAACCAGAAATCCCAGGCAGAGCCAGAGAACCACAGTGGAGCTTATGGCTCTGCTGGGCGCCTCCACAAAGAAATAGATGGACTTGCTGGTGTGGTGAAAAGTGTGGAGGGTTTCTTAATTTTGTGATTCCCCATATTTGCCATGTGAGCCTCCCTAACATTAAAGTGCTCAAAGCAAAGACCTAGGGTGCGACCATTAAGGCAGAATCTTCCTTTACAGCCAGCCAGACAAGCAGCAGAACCCCAAGGAGCAAGTGGGTGTACCGCCCACGGGATGCTGAGCAACCAGGTTATGTCCTCTGTCTTCAGTTGAGGGGAAAATACCAGCACGTCTGGGGTGCAGTGGCCCTAAGAGCTTACTGGAAAAAGGCTTTTTAGGTCCTCCAAGATGAATTTCCAAATTTTACCAAACTTGGAAGTAAATCTAGTTATTATTTGTGCTAAATATAGCTTAGAGGAAGCTGTCTCAACCCTAGTGATTCTCAGTTCCAAACCAGTTTCTCCCACCTCCTTGCGCACTAGGCAGTAGAACGCTTATAGAACGGGAGGCGGGCTTGTGTTGAAAATACTGGCAGGCATGGACTAACATTTTTTTATTATTTTTTGCTATCTCAAGGTTTCATGTAAGATGACATGGAAAAGGCAAAACAGCTCCTCAAACATTCCTCTGCTGTTGCTGCTACTGAGTGCTATACCAACCCTTTGTTTATGGTTCAAAGTCAAGCGTGTGGAGAGGAACTACATCTTATTTCTCTGGGGCCCCAGCTCAGGTCTGTACTAATAGGGGCTCCAGACTTGTTAAGCAAGTTGTAGAAACTCCCAAGGATGGTGGCAGTTAGAAAAGACAGGAAGACCCCATTCTCCCAAAAAGAGGAGTTAGCAAACAGCACCTTTGTTTACCAATTTGTCATAATAAATTCCAATCTCAATCTCTTCCATAAGAGGGTAGACCACCCCAGAGCAGAGTAGCAGATTGAGGCATTCCAGAATGTTCTGTCCAATATCTCTTAATGGAATTTTATTTTGAAAGTGACCATGGGCCTGAGGACTCTCACCCCCAGCAACCTCAGGAAAAGAAATAAGAAAGACCACCACTAACTCTCTGAGAGATCTGAGCTTCTTCACCATGATTCATCCTCCAAATCTCACTTCAAAAGGAAATGCCTTCCACCTATAGGAGCCTTGTCCTTGAGATTCTACAGCACAGGTGGATGAAACCCATTGACACTGGAGTCTCACTGGTTCCAGAAGGTCTGCGCCTGCCTCTGTTCATTGCTTAAGTCAGTGGTTTTGCTGAACAGTTCCTTCAGGTTTATAGATGGAGGGAGAGAGGGAGTTAGCAGCAGCTAAACTTTTCATACAGTTCTGAGGCCTACATTATGAAAAAAATGCAAGCATTGGGCCCTCCCTGGTGGCGCAGCGGGTTAAAGCACAGCACTAAGAAGCTTAAGCCACTTCCGCATGAGTTCGATCCCTGCCTACCTCGGAGGAGCTCCACATGGAGAGGCAGACCTCTCCTGGCCCACCCGCTGCTCCCCTCAGCAGTGTACTTCATTGATCTGCCTGTTCTGCTTCCCACTCTGTCTCTGGTGAATCCTCTCACCCTCCGCATCTCTGATCTGTACCCCAGTTCTATGTGAATAAATGAATAAATCTTTACAAAAAAAAATGCAAGCATTGCAGGAAGGAGGAGAGTGTAGAGCCACCTCGGTCCCACTACTCGGGACCCCAATGCACATACTCCTGTTGTGGATGTAACTAGCACACATGAGCCAGGAGAGCCCGAGATGAGCAGAACCTCTTCAAAAGCCTCTACCTGTGCCATGACCTGTCGCTAATGCATCTCAGCTCATTGAGCTTACCTTGGGGCATCTATAAAACACCTTCACCCACATGGTGCAGCAGACCTTTCCTGTCTCACCTGCTGTCCCCCTCAGCAGTGTACTTCATCGATCTGCCTGTTCTGCTTCCCACTGTCTCTGGTGAATCCTCTCTTCATCCCTGCACCTCGGGCCTGTACCCCAGTTTTGTTTGCATAAATAAGTAAATCTTAAAAAAAAAAAAAAGCAGAGAACAGCTCTGCCCACAACTTCATGCCTTAGGGGCTCCCAGCGGCCACTGGACAAATTACTACAATGGGACAGGGAGAAACCTAAGTGAGCCTGGCAGCCTCTACCAGAGGATGTGCTGGTACAGGACTGTGGGGGAAAAGGACCGTGTGCTTTGCTGTTGTATGCACTGTTCTAGGAAAATCTTCCCCGTGACAGCATGTTATTAACAGAGAGGGATGTAGTTGTTCTTGTCATACATATTCATTTTTCAAAACATGGCAGATTATACCCGCCAGCAGTATGTGCCATTCATAACATTCTTAGCTCGCTTTTATTTTCTTGGACCTCTGGAAAATATTAAAAGAATGTTGTGTGATACCTCTGGGGAGAGAGGGCATACGCCATATGTCCTTGTTCAGCAGGAGTAGAATACTAAGGCTTTTTGGAGCAATCTGGTGTTTAGACTCTGAAGGTTTATACAATGAGACCCAAGATGTGAACTCACACAAAATGAACACAACCCACACTAGAAATAAATAGATAATTTTGGAGGGAGAAATGAGAAATTTCTATTGTGGGAGCACAGTACATTTGGGCTGAAACCACAGCAATCCATGTACTAGCAAGAAGCGGCTCATGGCTGCCACGTCAGACTCAACAGATGATGAGCGCTGGCAAAAACCCAGATACCCCACTGTGGAAGGGCAGGGCAATATGCTGAAAATGGGATTTTCTACTAAAGTGGAAATAAATTTTAAGAGTTGAATATACAATCAGTAAAATAAAATATAAAATGACAAACACACCCTTGCGTCTATTTGTTCCAGGAAGAATGGTTTTTTCTAATTTAATTTGTTTTATTTGTATGCTTTGTGTGTGTGTGTTTGTGTGTGTGTGTGTGTGTGTGTGTGTGTGTGGTGAGTGTGACTCTGACTGTTTTAAGTCTGGAGCAAAGACGTCAAAATTGTGAATTCTGGATGAACCTGGCTCTATGTCTTGCTAATAACTCAGTAGCTTAGAGACCTTGAGCATTTAACTTTTATAGACTTTTTTTTTGGTCTAAAATGGAGATACAATAAAGTTATTGGATTGTTATGATAATTAAATGAACAGCATAAATGACAGACTTTGTATATAGTTTGTGCTCAGTAAACAGCAGCTGCTCCTGCTTGGGGAGAATGAGGTCCTGGAAAGATCTGTAAATTTGGCAGAAATGTGACAAATGATCAAGCTTCATGTTGGTTGTGGGACCATGAGGGAAAGAGTTGGGGGGAAAAGTGATCAGCAATATCAACTGGAGGATTTTCAAGCTACTCTTCTTCATGCCTTTCTCTCACCAATGGCGGCTACAGTGGGATGCTGTCAGGAAGCCTCAGCCAGGCGGGATTTAAAGAGGAACAGAGTTTGGGCTCCACTGTAGGACAATAGCATAATGATGTCTCCACAACCTTAGTCAGGGAAGCTTCTTCCAAAGAGTGATGACATACATACAGAGAACAAATGAGTCGAGAACTGCCAAACTAAAACCTCTTGTGGTATATGAGGCTGTAGGTAGACCTCCAGCTCCCAAATGGCAAAATCTGTGTTATTAAATCAAAGCCCTTGGAAAAGAACAAATTCTGGATCTTCAAGTTAATGCTTCCAGACTAAGGTGCCCTCTTTGATTGGCAGTGTAGACGAGGGAGATGACTCTCCTACGGTGTGAAGGACGTAGCAGGGTACACAGTCCCACTGGGGACAGAGAAGAGCAGCTGGGATTCATGAAAACCCCAGTTGAGGGGCCCTAGAAAGCAGGTGAACACCTTCCTTTGGGGAATGAAGTGAGTCCTCCCTGACTCTGCTTACCAGTTCTGAGAAGCTGCTGGTTGACCATATCTCTATAAAGGACGCACGGGCTCAAGAAGTGAATTGGAAATCTAACACTGGATTCATGGTTTGAGGACACTTTAGTAGGAACTATCATTTCATCAGTTGTCACCTCTTTTTCTAGTCACAGTTACTGTCCTTGGCTAGGTACCAAGAACCCTGGGCATAAATCTTCTACTCTAAACTCTTCCTCTGGCTCTGCAAGAGCATTTGGATCACTCACTTTGAAGCATCATAATATATTAAACATCATTTTTGTTGAAATCAGTATTCTGCAGTTCAAGCTCTTCAAGATTATTATATTTAATTTTATGATAGTACAAATTAGAAGCATTTACTTCATATAAGGACCTTTTGACCTCTGCAGTATCCCCCAAAATTTTAGGGAAAAAATCCCATTATTTTTTTTCAAACAAAATACAAGGACTTATAGGAAAGATCTGGCAAAGTTTTGCTGAGTACATTAAAAAGAAAAATCAAAGTCCTTAATTTATAGATTGTCCCCAGGAATCACTACATTTTTCAAATCTGTTGTTAGATGAGGTTTTCTTTCTTTTACATTTTTTTTCCATCTGGGGTTGAGACGTTAACCTATTCCATATGTGCCAGAGACTGCAAATAAAGACACAACCTTAGAAAATATAATGCCAAATGTTTCCTTTAAAGTCCAATGCAAATGACATCTTCTCACCTTTCTACACATTCCTTGACAACAGCAAAATTTCCATCTCCTATTGTCCTTCCGACTTTATATCTTTCTGTTATTGTGGCTGGAATCTGGAAGCCTTCCTCCGACACTTCTGAAAGAGTCATTAGTATGTTTTTATTGGTAGAAAAGGGAACACAGATGTTGCACAAAGGAGACATTTAGAAGTATCATCTAATAGACTGGAACTGATTCAGAATCAATATGTCATTTTCTGTAGAGTGAAGCAAAGCCCCCCGCTGACACTATATACTCAACAGTCTTTACTAAGACAAATGATAAACTAAAAGGAAACCTTAAACGGATGGGTCCACTCCCACCTATGGAAAAGCACCTTATGCTTTCTGTTGTGAGGGCTGGGGTGGAGGGAGTCTGAGGAAGAAGTTTTGTTCTTTATTTCATGCCAACTTGATCAATAGCATTGACTGAATATAGCCATACTGTATTCAGATGAATGACATTCCTAAGGAAAGCTAGGGAGGAAAATGCAGTTCGAAAGGAACTTTGAGCTGCTCAACATATACAAGCATGAAAAGTGCCTGCTGTTTGGACACATAGCTTTCCTACATCCTGAAATGGAGATCTCCGTAAAATTCCTTATGAACTAAGCTCTGATTGCCACCCCTTCCCAGTATCAATGAGCAGATTTTCAACAAATGTTCTCACCAGCAGCCTGCGTAGCAGATGTTGAGTTAAAATTGCAATATCTATTATGTCTGTGAACAGAACAGTTTTGTAGTTTCAATTATGTTAGTGCCACTAACACAACGCATTTTCCCCCTTTAAAATGTATTTTGAAATATTTTACAAATGCCTAATAATGATTTAAATATCTAAGGCCATAAAACTAAATAAGCCAAACTTAGGTCACATAAATATACTGGATAACCTTTAACATCTTAGGGATGTAAAAAGCCTTTTATAGCCCAGCTCTAAAATTTACATGCTTTAAAGTTATAAATCCTAGCTCTCCCTCAGGCAACCTGAATTCAAAATGTGATGGAAGCCTAGTATGCTTTCTTAATGTGTTCTTATTCTGACCTTAAATCACAAACTGAGACTAAATACTTCTTTTCAAGGTAAAATCCAAGCCTTTGGTGTAGGTGGTCAGTGGGCTTTCTTGGTGAATTTTGTTTTCTTGTTTAGTCTGTATGACTGAAGATCAATAAATGGATATTCACAGTCTTCAGACAACTGCTCTAGCCCCCTTACTCTGATTCAGGATTCTAGAGATGGATGCAATTTCTAGAAAGTGCTGTACAAATGAGGGCATTTGCTGCTGCCACTTTTTTGCTCTTGGCATTTGTGCAGCCTCTTTCTCTCTTTATAGGCAACATGTTACTCCATTAGAACCTATCACAGTGGTATACAGAATGAAGTGAAAATTAGAGCCAATTACTCCCTACCACTACCACCATCTTATCCCCAAAGTCACTCTTTGCCTCTGAAGGACTTAAGTTGAGGATTTCAGTCTACTTCAGGTGAATTAGAAAAGATGGTTAGAGAAGTTTCAGAACCATCACAGAGCTCTCACATTTACAGCACGTGTCTCAGGTGGCAAGGTCTTAAGGTTCTTTATCACCTGGATTACAAGAGTAGCCATTTTTGGCTGCTTGGGGGTGGGGAGGGGGATGTTTAACTCTTGGACTTGGAAATGGAAGGAGATACTTTCATCCTTCCTTCCAGTGGGAACATTCCCTAAAGAATCCATCTCGACCAAATGTCTTGGAAACTATTTTTCCCTGAATATTTATAAAATGTATCTTTTAGGCTTTTAGCTAAGAAGGTTTAGCCAATAGCTCAGCCAAGGACCATGTCATTTTATTAGGTAAATATAATACATTGCAACAAAAGGGACTCCTAAAATGGCTAGTTGATATTTTCGGAAATACAAAAATGTCTGATAGTGGATGGTTGTCAGGAAGTAATTCTGTATGAATCATAAATCTCACTGAATAAAATCAAAGTGCTTCCTCCACCTCCAGGTACTTTGGGAAAATTAAACCATTTCATTTATAACAAATAAGGTAGATGATTTTTTCATAATATCTTGATGATAGTAGTTTTATATTTTTCTAAATACTTTCCCATAATTGATTTGAGTCTGATAACTACCCCTAGAGAGGAAATAAACATGTACTACAATCTCCATTGTACAAAATAAGAACTTAGATGTAGAGAGTTGAAGAGGTTTATCCAAAACCATCCAGTGAAACCATGAAAAATGTCAATGCTTAAATGTAGGCTGTCTGACCACATCACAAAAGAAATCAATTCTAAAAAGCATTAGCTTAAGGGACCAGGAATACTTTTGCAATTACCACCAATTAATTCTTTGTGAAAAATCATATTTTCACATGTTGAGTTCACATATGAGTACCTCAGCAGGGCTATAACAGTCGTCAACAGATTAAACTGTCTTTAATATGTTAAAAGTGAAAAGAATGTGGGATAGATATTACACCCCTTTTTATTTTCAGAGTGGGCAACATCTTGCCTTCTTAAGATCTTTACACCCTCAGAGGATGTGAAATGTCTTCAAATCAAGTTAATGCTCTTTTTAGGTTCAAATAAAATAGACACTGATCCCCTATGGGGGCCTTATTAATCCTATCCTCTTGCCATTGACCCTTATGAACTCCTCCATTTATCCTGCTTCAGAAGTTACAGGTTCCTGGAGTGAATATAGCCAATCTGTCCTCTGTCCCTTCTACAAGCTAAGCGACCTCCACAGCACCACATTCCATGCATGCTCACCACCTTCTCCAGGTCCATCATTCTCGTCCATCGAACTGCAGACTTTGGTGGACGCAAGTGAAGTAGAAGAGCCTCCATGTTGAGAGCTCTGAAAGGAAACAGAAACAAAGAATAAAAACACATGGTCAAATCATTCAAGTCTCCAGGTGCTACATCCATCCCAGAATCTCAAGAGATAGCTGCACCCACCACCAGGAAGATTTGGCTATAAATTAGGATAGGGAGGGTCTTACTTAGACTATTCAAGCAGGATCACCTCTTCTCCTATCCCATGAACCAGTAGGTGGTATTAACTGTGAAAGCTTAATCATTGTAAATTTGGAATTTCTTTGACTTTCTATTCATTTTTCTCAAAATTAGCACCTTTTAGCTCACTGTTTAAGTTTGGCAGATTTTAGGTATCTCACCTCACACTTCCAGTCTATCTGCAAACAGGCCTCAAATATGGCGCCATTCTGATCTCATCCAACACTTTTTCTATTCTTACAATAGAAAAAAATTTCTCTTCAGTCTGTTTCTATGGAATATCCTAAAAAAAATTCAGCATTACCACATCCTTGAAGAAGGCAAAAGAGTGGGTTTGTTAATTCCACCTTGAGGTAAAGACACAAGCACTCATTAGGTTATTGATATATTAAATATTACACAAGAAGTCTAGCAAAAATGGGAACAAAAGCCTAAACCTGCTGATTTCCTTGTATTTTTAGTGTATTTTGACCCAAAACCTGCGAAAACAAATAGGGTAACAACTAAAGTAGAAAGCCCAGAGGAGAATATCAAACATTTAATAGTATGATCAGCTACAGGGCAGTACTTTAACAATGAACATTTCCATCTCTGCTCTTATCCCTGGAGAGACAATTTTCACATTTCATTGCTATTTCTAAATAGTGAACACAGCTTGTCCTAAAAGATCTTCCTTCTGTTTCCCTGGGTTTATCCACTTGGTTGGCCTGATGGGAGCAGGAGGCGGTGAGGGGGTGGCATTGGCGCATGGTGCCGGCTGTCTGTGGAGCAGAGAGAAGGGAAAGAGCATCTGTAGTTGAATTAATAATGAAGAGGTAGTGAGAAGCAATGTTGGCCTATTTTCTTCTGCTTACCTGTCTCCCTTCAACCTCCTCCCGATTCCATCCAGCCTTAATTGTACACAAAGAGGGAGAAGCTTTATAGAATGATTTATGTTCAATAATACCTCACATAGGAAGTTCAAAGGTCTTAGATTTTACCAAATAGATAATATATTTGGGGAAATGCTACTTAAATCACTGCAGGGTCACTTGATTCAATTTTCATGGAACTTTTTCCTGGATGCTCCTAAGATGAGCATGTTCCACTGGGAGAACTCATGGAAGCTGATGGCTGACACAATAGGAATAAATATTAAATTCATGTTTCTTTATAGGACATTATAGAAGCTTTGTGATTACTCTAGTCCACATCCAAATGGCACCTCGTGTGTATGATGTGCGCTTTATTTTCCCATATTGTAAGAATTCCCCATCAATCAGGTTACTTACAAGCTCTTTTCCATTCTTTCTCATGAAGCCTCACTTTGCAACCAGCAGCACACATTCACCCATGACACGCTAGAAAGAGGGATTCAGATCACATGGTGACCCAGAAACAGTTTTTCTCTGTATAACACTGTGTAGTCATCACGGACTCTGCTGAAGGCACTGTAAATGCATGAGCTTCTAAGTCACGCTCTGCTGACTTTTACGGATGTCTGTTTGTGAAAACCTTGTATTTATAATATTGGAATGGGAGGCTGAGACAAGGCAGATTTATGATGTTGATGTCTGGAGAAAATAAACATTAACATTACCACCTTTGAGAGGAAGGTGTGTGTTTTTCAGAACAGTGGGATCCTTTATTCCTGTGCCATTGCTTCTCCCATAGACATAATGGTGTTGCAGCAGAAAAGCAGTAGGTAAATGTCTAAGATGCAGATCTTCTCTTCTGAGTTTTCTGATGCTTGAATTTCTTCCAGCAGCATAGCAAATGGTGTTTAATAATGTAGACACATTGTGGTTTGGGGTGGCAGGTGTTGTCTTGTCATATGGTGTTTAAAATTTTAGAATACAAAGACATTCTTTCATCAAACAGCAGAATTAATAGACTAGCGGCATGTTTCATCACAAAGATGTCCACAATTTATGTACTCATTCCCAAAACTTGTTCTTTTAATAAGAACATCAAATAATCAATCTAGAACTCTGACCCAAAGTATATGAAAACAGCTTTTTAAGCTGTTGTATTCTATAAACTTATTGGATATTTTTCACTAAACTGCTTTATCAACTAATGAATTACATTTTCAACAGTGCCACCAAATGTCTGATGCCCTGAATGCTTGCCACAATGCCAGCTGTGTTTTCTCTGCCTTCTGAACAAAAAGCCCTCAAGGTTTTTGTTTTTTTTTTTTTAATCTCTGGGGGGGAAAATAGGGTTCAACACAAGTTTGCTAATATTCAAAATTTCTTATTTTCAATTTTAGATTTGTTGAGAATGAACTGTCATTTTAAATTTCATGCTGTTTGAGGGTAACAGACAATTTTAATTGAAAAACAATTATAAATAAGGTATATTAATATATCCCTTACTCAACTGAAAGCTTCCACTTTACCTGTTATGCTTAATTGGACTAAAAAATTTGATTTCTATTGGTGTTATCTTTTGTTTTCCCCAAAGACAGACAGCATTACACATTTTCCAAAACAATGACCATTTATGTATTCAAGCAATTTAAAGGAATGGAATGGACCTTGAATATTGCCTACTCTATCCTACTTCTACCCAGAAATCAAATCTCTGCTACAAAAATCCTGACTATGTGGTCAAGTAGACCCTGACTAAATACTGCAGTATTGAACACTATTTCCCGTGGTAGCTCTTTAACTGCTAATATAAGGCAAAGTAAATTCTTTCTTAAATTAGGTTGAAAAGACATTCCTTTACATTTCCCATTTTTTTTTTTTTTTTTTTTTGGTCCCAGATCTCACCTCTGGGGCCATCAGAACAGATGGAAACCATTTTTCCTAAGACAGTGCTTCAGATACAGTATTCCCTGACTTAATTCATCGCTTCTTGGAAACTGCAACTTTAAACAGAATGACATATAACAAAACCAGGTTCTCAAATAATGAACATAGTCCACCCACTTGTACAGCATCACCAGTACATTTTCCCCCTCATCATTGTTACAATGAAACTACTTGAACAAAATGGCTTTAATGGAGGACCTGCTGCATGTGGAAATAGTTACTGGACCCTTCTGTGTTTTTTCAATTTGAATATTCCCAGTTTCTTTAGTTGTTAATCATGCAAAATCTTCATCACCTTTTGATGCTTCCGGTGGAGTGACACAATCAGTTGTTACTCCCTCTCTTGTGATTGTTGGTGCTCAAAACTGTATGCAAAATTTATACAATGCTATAAAAACAGTGGAACTTTAATAAAAACAAAGCAACAAACTGAAGGTAATATTGTAGGTGCACCCTGATCAGCCCAGAGCAGAAAACATATTTTTTTTTCTTGTGAATAGAGAATGAATGCATTTGAGATCATACTGACTTATTGATAGAGTCATAACATTTAGTCATTCCATGAGCTTAACAGTTGGACTGATCATTCTATTTTACATTTGAGATGTTGGAGGTTTCCATCAAGTCTAGAACTTCAGTTACTCATGTTAAATGTCATTTTATTACATTCACATCCTTCCAGCTGGTTATTTTGAGTTCTGATTTGTCACCCAACATTTTTGTTCTCTCTCCCAGTTGAAGTCATTAGAATCAGATTGGCTCTTTGTATAAGTTTGCTACTAATCCTAAATATACTTAGAGCTGAAACATTTTAGTTATTATCCTTATATCTGATTGAATGATTTTGAAAATAGGAAAAGGTGCAAGTTCTATATTCTTTAGAATTAACCCAATGAGATTAAATCAACCTTTATGACCAACAGACGCTAAGAAGTCCACTTATATTTTTGCATAATTATATATGGGTTTATCTATTATGTTTTCTAAGCAGATAAAACATTTTATAGTGCATATACTTATAAGATTCTGTTTTCTTTAGTAAGTTTGCTAATTCTAAGACATCTGGATATACAATAAAAAACATAGTTATTTTAGAATTTAATGCAATTAGCTGCTCTAGAGATATTGTGACATTTGAAATGTCATCACCTCTCCAAGCAGATCTAATGGGAACCATGTGGGCAGGTTCCTGGCACCTGGATGCTTTTATGGCACACCTTCATAAAAGCACTGCCCTAAGTAAGAACACATCCTAAGTGTAGCTATTTAACTTGGGATCATATAACAGATGGAGAACATATCACACTTTTTTGAAGTAAGTGAGAAATCTGACATAACAGCTCTAACCATATTTTACCAAGATGTATCTGATGACGATGTAGAAAAAAAAAAACAGTTCATTTTAAATATAAAAGTATGAGTTAGTCCTGCTATTTGTATTAATGGTGTCAATCAACCAGAGTCCATTCCATATAAAGATTTCAAAAGTACCAATTGGCCCAATGGATCTAATCAAGGTAGAAAACTCTGACTAGGTAACTTGAGCATTGGCTAAATAATTGTATTGTTTCTAATTCATATTTTACTTAGGCATACAATTATTATTTTGTTAATATTGAGCTGGAAAACAAATTTAAAAAATCAGAAATCAACTTAACCAACTTTATAAAGGAAACAACCAATGAATACATAACAAAAATACACAGTTGTCTAGGTACTCTTGACTTGAAGCTTACAGAAACTCTAAAGAATGACTTTGTGTAATAAAATTGAATATAATCCTTATACAGTGAGCTTGAAATCCATAGTATTATTTATGCATATAGAAAAAATCACACGTTTATTTACTTTCCAAGTGAATGTGGACCAATAAGTTGATGACATCGAGCTTCAACTCTGAGAGTTCCATTATTTGAAACAAGGTACAAAGGGGTCTCCTTTTCCAAATCCCCCTTGTCTGCATTCTTCACAGTAAGTTTAGCCAAAATAAAGTTTATGGGATGGATAATCATGTGGGTAACAGAAATGACTTTTGAAAACTGCA